CAATATTAACCATCACAGCTTGTATAAATTAACTAGATACCAAGGTCCGTTTCACCCCCACATAATTCACTGGGTGACCTCTCAATACTTCTGCATCTTCAGTCGGAACCACACGTTAAGGCAATGTTTGAGCATCTCTGGCTCCCTTGTAGTCCATCTGCATCATCACGAACCGTCGACGCACAACTGATACCGAGTGCGCAATGTCATACACGAGTGGATACAAAGGAATATGAGATATATGTTTCAAGCTAAATCAATGCCGCACGATAAGGAATGAAAGAAGTAAAATTATTCCTAAACTCTATAGCCTCTGGAAGATAAGTACAAACATCTCCGTACCGATCCTTCAGACTCTACTAAGCTTGCTCGTAACTCGTGAAACCTATGTACCCTAGTGCTCTGATACCAACTGTCACGGCCCAAACTTCCCACCTTCGAGACCATGATGGCGCCTAACATTTCACTTGCTAGGCAAGCCAACGTTAGAATAATATTAGCCATTTTAAAATAATTTTTAAATTAATTAATAACAAAGAAACAAATGCGGAAGTAAAGTCTGAAAAGTAGTGAATAATTCATAATAATAGCGATGTCTAAATACCATCCCATAATTGGTGTCACAAGTGCACGAGCTACTAGAATAATACAATTAAAGGTCTGAATGAAAATAAAGTTGTCTGAAAGAAATACATAGCTATGATAAAATGGAAGGGGACTTCAGAACTGCGAACGCCATGCAGCTATACCTCAAGTCTCCTGCGAATAACTGAATCCGAGCAAATCTATTGTACGTCGTTGGGACTAACTCTTGTATTTGCACAAGAAGTGCAGAGTGTAGTATGAGTACAACCGATCCCATGTACCCAGTAAGTGCCGAGCCTAACCTCGATGAAGTAGTGACGAGGCTAAGGCAGGTCACATACATTAATTTGTAAGCAATAAAAATAATAACAACAAAAATAGAAATAAAACAAGTGTCTCTTTTCAACAATTGAAGTCAATTCGGCAGTCATAACCAATTATTATTTCACTCAGTTTTCGTTACGGTATGCTACCCGATCCCACAATATATTCATATTCATTTATGTTGCGGCGTGCAACCCGATCCCAATATATCTTTTTAATCAATTATGTTATGACCTGCAACCCGCTCCTCCAATATACTCTTTTCAATCAATTATGTTGCGGCATGCAACCCGCTCCTCCAATATATTCATTTCAATCAATTCTGTTGCGGCGTGCAACCCGCTCCTCCAATATATTCATTTTCAATCAATTCTGTTGCGGCGTGCAACCCGCTCCTCCAATATATTCATTTTCAATCAATTCTGTTGCGGCGTGTAACCCGCTCCTCCAATATATTCACTTTCATTTTCGTTGCGGCGTGCAACCCACTCCTCCAATATATTCCTTTACCAATTCTTATAAATAAAATTACCCCAATAAATGCAACAATTAATATGAAATTATAAGACAACAAGCATACCATAATTATGATTTATTAGAAATATGTGATAATAAGTAACAATTAATTTTAGAAATTAAGGATGTAATAGGCATTTTAATAATTGGTATGCTAAACGTCAAGTGGCAATTAAGTCACATAAATCAAATAAGCATGTAGTAATTATAGCATGGATTCAAGGCATGATATTGAGCAAAGAACACAAGAGAAACAATTAATATAATAATTAATTCATGATTTAAAACGATATATGATTTTTCAAGTAATTATGCAAACAATTAATTTGACGATGTATAGACACTCGTCACCTCGCCTATACGTCGTTCACATGCATTTCACATAACAAATAATTTAAGGGTTCTATTCCCTCAAGTCAAGGTTAACCACGGCACTTACCTCGCTTTACAAATAAATTTCTAGATTCTAATACACCTTTGCCTCGCGAATTCGTATCCGAAAGCTTCGAATCTAATCACAAATAATTCAACATACTCAACACAAAACGTAGGAACTAATTGCATATGAAATTATAAATGTTTCGGATTAAAATTCAAAATTTATTTTAAAAATCAACACTAGAACCCACGTCTCGAATTCCGAAAAAACTCACAAAATCCGAACACCCGTTCCGATACGAGTTGAACCATACAAAAATTATCGAATTCCGACATCGGATTGCCTTTCAAATCCTCAATTAAAGTTTTGTTTGAAGATTTCTACCATTTTCAATCCTATCTTTACCCATTTAAACTCAACAATCTTCCCATAACCTTATTGGTACAAGCATGTATAACTAATACTCTCACATGCAACAATCACACTCACAATCACCCATCTTTACCCAAACTCAAAATTCAAGAATAGGGATTAGAACCTTACCTCTTAGGTGAAGATCTTGTGATAATTCCTTGTTGGATTTCAAAGCTTGATCAAGATTTTTGATGAACAAAGTAGTTGAGCTTCTTTCTCTCTCTAAAACACTCTCACTTCTCTCTAAATAATTAGATAATTATCCCAAAATAAGCCCCAAAGCCTATTTATCAAAATGAGGTTGGGTTATGAAAATAGGAAAATTAACCCTCCGAAATCGGGTCTGCGGTCGCATAATGCACCATAAAATGGGTATGCAGGTCACACAATACACCGAAACATCGGTGCCCAGAAATGGGCTTCTCTGGACAGGTCTGCGACCAGTTTTTCGGTCGCATAACCTCTACGATCGCATAATGGTTCTGCGATCGCAGATTTGGCCATAGACTCGCATTCTGCCAGCCTTTGGTAATTTAGTCATAACTTGTAGGAGTATTCAAATGGCGAACGGTTTGAAGAGTTAGAAACTAGACTCAAAGATCTTTCATTTGTTATGTAGATCATCACATAATGTCTTATATATAGGTAGATATGCTTGTTCAAAGTTTGGTTTTGTGCGTACCCATTTGAAACTTTAGTCTATTATGAAATTTTTCAACTTGACTTAGACTTAGGACTCTCCTTAGACCCCATATCACTTATAATATGCCTCGTACACTTGTTATTATATCCAATTAGTATTCATAATATTAATAGTTCTCAAATGAGAAGTAGAGTCCTTCCCCCAAGCACATAACATAACTTATCTCTTCTTTCACCCATTTCAATTTCATAACTTATAACATTTGTATATCTATAAAAGTTTGTCATTAAGTGTAAAATAGAAAGTTCAAGTTAAACTGTTTTCAAATTTAAAAAAATATTATAATTTTTTGGAACATGCTAATAAAGAAATATGATGACTGAAATAGTGTCATGAAAACAACATAAATCCAGAAAGTGAGAACTAATATTGTTTGAAAAAGAATAAATTACCAGCAGCTTCAGGGCCTTTAAGATGATATGCACAAGCAAATGAAGAAAGGAAAATAGATTAACAAGAATAGGGTAATTGATATTGCACTAGTTGTTTCCAATGCAAAAACTCTAGCTCTTACATGTTGTTTTGCTTTGAGTTTGCTGTTTGTATTTCTTTCAAACAACTAGAGATGTCCAACTATTTATAGTTTCGATCTTGTTATTTTGTAAATGGAAAAATTATGGTATTGGTAACTCAAATTATGAGTAGAATTCAATAGAGTTCTCATAGTATCCGGTCAAAATATTTAACTTACTACTTGTTTGGATGGTTGTTAGCTATTGTATTGTATCGTATTGTAACTTTATATACAATGTTTGTTTTAATTTTTATTTAAATTTTATTGTATCGTATCGTTAAATCCGTCATTACGAAATGACAAAAACTCTCACTTTATGTAACGACCGATTTGGTGTGGCCGTATCATTATCTTATTTTTTTTCTCTCGATTTGTCTTTCCTTATTGTATTAAATAATTTTATTTTATCCTTTACTTTACCTTTTTATATAATAATTCTACCTCATACCTTATTTTTTCTTTATAATATTGCAAGTTTGTTCTAAATATTATTGGTGCATGATATCATGAAACAACGGCAAATAATACAATCTATTCAAACATTATATACATCAAAATCAACCATACAATACAATACAATACAGTACTAAACTAGACATAACAACCGTCCTAACAAGTTGTTAATTTCGATTAATTGAAGGCAATGCCAAATAGCACTTTTGTCTTTTGGTGTCTAATTTTGATAAAGAAGTCTAAACAAGGCTTTTAGCCCTCTAACACAGTTATACTGAAGGAAACATCAAACTCTATGCACAATTTAAGTTAAAACAGGACAAAACTAAGACGCAATACCCCTAAAAAGTAGGTACCCAGTAAAAACAAGAACAAAATTAGCTGACATTTCTTCATTGAGTAAAAATTGTAAATATATTATTGTGAGCACGTAATTTTTGCCCGACGAAAAATACTCCTACAAATTCAAAATAGGTTTTTCTAATTATTTTAATTTTTATAGAATGTTTAGAAATTTCTTGTTAATTGTTGCTTGCATTTAGTTGCATATTTAACATTTTAAAATCATAAGAAAAATACCAAAAATATTTAAAGTATTCGTGCATAGCATTTTAGGTCTTAATTGTATTTATGATTTAATTATATAAGTTAATTGTATTAGTAAACAAAAAATCAAAAATAATGGACATTTTTACATTTTTAGCTTTCAGTTGCATATTAGTAATTTCCTTTCATTAGTCTTAAGTTAATTAATTATTTTTGTGTTAGAAATAGATAATCAATTTAATTTCACAAATTAGATTTGATTTAGGACTTAGTTTAGGATTTGTTTTAATTAAATTTATTAAGCAAAAAATCAAGAAAGAAAAAAAAAAGAAAGCTTGCTTAATTCCGGATTGGGCTACAACCATTTTCAGTGGCCCAATTGCCCCAAAATTATCCAAATCGGCCCAGCCCAATCCCTTTGACCCATCAATTGACCCACGACCCGTCTGCCAAACCCGCCCCGTCTCCATTTTTAATCTGAGCCCTTCATTCTTTAAATCTAACGGCCCATATTCCTCCCCACTATTATATTTAAACCTAATTATAACTTCCCCCCAAACCCTAAACCTAAATTCCAAAACCCCAAACGGCGCCACCCCTCCTCCGCCTCTCTGTCGCTGCTCAACTCGCCCGAACTTGCCTGAACTCAGGTGAGTTCACCCCCAAACTCGTGCATGTGATCCCTCCTATCTCCCTCCTCCACGTCACCTGTCCCGTAACAACTCCTTCTGTACTGCTGTTTTTTATGCTGCTCTGTTAAACTTGGCTTCATACCTGGTTTTCTGACCTTTATTTGGTCCTTTATTTGTTATTTCCTGTCATTAGGTATGTACAAATTTGCCTATTAGCTTCCTGTTGCAATTATGAATAAGTTTGGATTATCTGATGTTGTTTGTGTCTGATCTCCTTACTATGTTTCATTGCAATTGCTTCCATGTAAATTTTTGGTTTTGATTGTTCATTTGAACTAAATATGGTGATTCAAGTTATTTTTGACTAGTTTACACAACTACTCAATGTCATTGTGTAGGTTTAATATCACAGATTCATCATTGTTTTGATTAACAAGTTTTATATGTTAAAATCATCTCATAATGAGTTTATTGTTTAGTGTATGATGGTTTATTCTTTTAAAATTAGTGATTCACACTCAAAATGATATCTATACTAATAGATTAATCAATCTTGTTGCCTAGCCATTTAGCGGTTGTGCATGACAGAGCCGATTAATAAGAGTAGCCCAGTGGCTATTTTCTTATAAATCAGAGGTCTGCCCGAAGGAACGAGAGGCGTATGATTCAAGAATAGCAATGGTCGTGCAAGATAATGTGATGGAATCATGGAATGCGTTAAACTAGCTTTAGATTGTTGAAATTTGTAATCTGAATCCCAAGCTCAGTTACTGTACATGATTGTTAAATTCTTGACCCTATGCCTTCATGAAATATACATAGTTGTCGATAATGAATTGTATTTGTTTACTTGAAATTTTTCATTATTATTGACAAAATCAGTGTATAGATCCATATGTCTTTGAGTTCATATACTTGGGTTTCAATTTACGTATGCCTCCACTGGAGAAATCAATTAGCTGAATTTATGCTCTTTTACTCCGTTAATTCAGAGACCATGGGTTGTATTCATATATGGCCAGATTGTGAATTTAAGTGAGCAAAGGCCAACATCTGAAACGTGTTGGCCAAAATGATGAGAATTTTCTTTAAGTTAATATTAGTATATACATGCAGTTCGCTCCAATTTTAGCATAGCAGAATGCTTAACCATTGTCAAACATTTCCAAACAATTTGGATACGGTTAATATTACTCATTTCCCTTAGCAAATTTACACTCATTTTCCACAAATCCATATCCATAATCATGACTTCCACAATAATCTCAAAGTAGTTTAGGAAAATAATTCAGGAACAATCGTAGTTTGTTTTAAGCGCGATTAATAAATCATCGTGACTATGGGTACGATTCCCGTGGTATGGTCACGATACGTAAATTCCAACTCAAGTGTGCGTTTCACTTGACTTTATCACAACTTCAAATAAATAATAATAAAAATTAACATGTTGTAAATCGCGGGTACATTTCACGGGGCGCGATTCGCAATATGCACAGAAGCAAACGAGTGCGCGACATCGCGATTTCTTCAAACAAAATTCCATAAATAATAAAATCGGTTAGAAAGTTAAAGTGCACAATAGGTTCTAAATATGTAATAATTTATATAATTGGGTCAATTATTAATAGTTGAGCGATCGTGCTAAAATCACGGAACTCGGGAGAGTCTCACTCCTTCTTCCGAGTTAACAGAATTCCTTATCCGGTCTTCTGTGTTCGCAGACCATAAATAGAGTCAATTTTCTCGATTTGGGATTTAAAATAAACCGGTGACTTGGGACACCTTAAATTATCCCAAGTGGTGACTCTGAAATCAATAAATAATTCAATTTCGAATAATGTCACTTAAATTGGAAAAACTCCCTATCCCTTCGGAAAAAAGGATGTGTGACAGCTCCGGCGACTCTACTGGGGATAAGAACCCAGAATCTCTGGTTCAGGGTTCAGAATTCAAGCTTAGAATAATTGCTATAGTTGGCTTTTATTTATTATCTATTTTCTTACGTGTTTGAGCCTAATGTGCTAAATGCTACTTTTTACCGCTTTGATATTGCTTGAGCTGTATATAAAACTGTTGCGAAACCCTTCTTCTCTCTAAGTCTTCTAAATCTTCTGGGAAGTGCACGCTGGCGTGACTTGTTTTCTGTTAGTGTCATACCTTAATTTAGAACGAGGATCGGATCAGTTACAAAGCCGGATGGCCTTTTGGTTCCCGGTATGTTGCCCTCCCCCCCGGCTCGAGTTGTCCGCTCGGGTAAGCCAGGTCTAGAACAATACACCCAAGGGTTCAAATCTAGAATAACATAACCTTATGTCGGGTCCCTAATAGGAACGTTTGTTTGCATCACATGCATCTGGCTTTGGGGACTCAACACGGAGGTTGGGTCCATCTAGGACAAGTGTACCCAAATTAAAAGACTATTCTGATGCATTTTTACTTGCTACTTGTGCATTTATCGGTTTCGGCTTTTATGTTGACCGGCTTTTAGAGTAGGGAAAGAAAATCAAGCAAAACCAAGAAGTGAGGTAGGATAGAGAAACATTCGGTTCTAAAAATACCAGTGTTCGAAATATTCCGAAACTCTGCCGAAATTTTAAAAAAAGAAAAAAGAAAAAAGAAGAGTCTTCGAAAAAATAAGTCCTATTTTTTCACGCGTCAAAACTCACCAAACTACGCGGGTTTGATTCCCACCAGGTGTGGGATACGTAGGCAACCCTCATCGGGTCCAGCCCTATTTTTGCAAAAATAATCAAAATAGGGAAATATTGTCATAAATAAAGTTCGGCGATGCCATTTTTGCCCAAATAGCTAGATATGTCCCGACGGGACGCCGGAAGGCTGTTTTGCAAGAATAGCCACTCAAAATTGGCCACTTAGCAAACACAATCTTAAACTCTTCTCCTCCGAAGTGTTGAAAGGCCGTATTTGCAAAAGTAGCCGTGATTTGTTTTCGGTTAGATTTTGTAAAAATAATCTTTTCATGGTCAGTTTTATACAAAATTTTAATCTGGGTACCCTAATTTAAAAATGTGCAAAATGAGCTATGTTCAGAACTTACCTGTGAAGGTTATGGATCAGATTCCACTAGCCCTCCACATGTGGTGGGAGGATTTGGGAAAACAAGGACGAGACATGGTCAACCAATACCTGGGGGCGCTCACTGGACTATTGAAAATTTAACCTAGAAGGGACCTGATAGAGGCATTAGTGGCATTCTGGGACCCCGCTCATAATATTTTGCACTTCTCAGATTTTGATCTTACGCCTACTTTGGAAGAAATGGCAGGTTATACTGGGAGCACGGAGGGATTAAGACACAAGTACCTGGTATCTCCATGGACTGTTACTCCCCACAAGTTTCTGGACTTACTAAAAATAAGCAGACAAATCAAGACTGGAAGTATAGAAGGTGGAACTTTCACTTTTCATTTTCTATACCAGTGATACGGGCAGTTAAGGGGATTCGAAGACCCGAAAAATGGACTCTGCAGTAAAGGAAACCGATCAAAATGGGAGACCCATAGATGTTTTGCCTTCATGGTGGCGTTTTTAGGCCTTTTGTTGTTTCCAAGGAAAGACGGGCATATTGATTTACGGGTAGCCGGGGTTGTCCACGTTCTGACTACTCAGGCCAAGAGTACCCTCGCATCCATGATCGTATCAGATATATTCCGAGCCCTCACATTCTGTAAGGCCGGAGTCAGGTTTTTCGAGGGATGCAATTTGCTGTTGCAAATATGGATGATCGAGCACCTTTGTCATCGTCCTCGATACATGAACTATGGGTCTACGGGAAAATTTGCATTGAAGAGTTTGATACACGAGTAACAAGATTCGAAATGCCGGAAGGGGTCAAAGATTGGATCACCTGCCTTCGATCTACAACCGCAGATCATATAGAGTGGACATTGGGTTGGCTTCCCGTTGATAAGATTGTTTATATGCCCGCCACTGGTCCCTACTTCTTGCTAATGGGTCTCCGAAGCATCCAACCCAATGCTCCGTACCGGGTTTTGGGACAACTTGGAAGATGCCAGACAGTTCCTAGAGATGAAGATCTTAGCACTTATGTAGTCGAAATCCGCTCTGATGCCCAATTTCTTGAAGAATTGGTTTGCCAAATTTGGAGCTAATGCCAGTATTTGGGGGCAAACACCCGAGTACATGATTTGTCTAGGGGCGAGGTCTTACCTAGTTATGTTGTCTAGTATGGAAAGAGAGTCACTACGAATGGTGAATCTGAACGGTCAACTAAAAGACCTCATATCCAAGAATTTGTCAACACATCGCAGGAGAAGTGGGCTTGGTTAGCCAAAGAAAAGGAATACCGGGCCACCATAAGCAAATTAGAACAACAAATCAGAAAAATCAAATTTGATAGTAGTTTGTAGGCTGTCGAGGATGAAGGAGAAAAGAAGAGATTGGTTCGGGAAAATGAGGCGTTCCGAGCCCAACTCCGGGACATGAGGATAGTCGCTGAAACGCCTATGAGGAGCGAGAGAGATGAAAAACTCATCGGCAACCTAAGGATGAAGATGCGTGACTATGCGGCTGACTTGACAAAGGCCGAAAGAGACTTGTTAAATGCTCAAGAAAAGTTGGCCAAAGGTGCGGAAGAACAAGCTAGATTAGCCCACCAGTTGAAGCAAAAATATGATAAAGAAGTAGCAATTTTACAGAAAAAGCTGGTTGCCCTTGAGAATGAAATGGTTAAGCAAACAAAGGATTTCAAGGCAGAAAGAGAGCATTGCTACGCATTGATTTATCAATTACAATAAAGCATGCAGCAGTTACAAGACCAAAACAACACAGATACACAAGTGTTGGAGGCTCGGGCCCAGCAGATTGGACGTTTGCTTCAAGAAAAGGGTGTTATCGGAATGAGGATTAAAGAGAAAGCTGATTATGTTGTAATGAAATGCCATGAATGTGAAGACATGATGAGGTCTATGTTTTTTGCTTCTGTGATGACATTCGTTCACCAGGTGATGGTTGACCTAGACCACCTTCAAGAAGATATTGCCCGTAGGCTCGTGCGAAGACCGGCTGATATCCTGCAGGCCCCCGGAGTACTAGTGGAGGCTCTTATGTATTTTTGATTGTTCAGTTTTTGAGTCTATATTTTACTTTTTTCGAGTTTTCTTCGTCTTTTTCAAGGTTATTTATTGCTTTATTTCGAGTCTGTAGATTTTTTTTTGTTGTCATCACTATTTTTAAGTCCTTGTAATAGAAAATCCAAAAAGATGTCTTTTATTAATAAAATATTGAAAACCCAAAAAAAAATTCTTTTCTTTCATTTCGCATTTATATCTATGAACTACGTAATGATCTGATTCATACGGCGTCATGATACGTAGGCAATCCCCATAGGATTCAATCATAGTCCTAATAAAAAAAAAGAGAAAAGAAAACAAGAAGAAAAAAAAGAGAAAAAAAAGAGAGGAAAAAAAAAGAAAAAAGAGAGAAAAAAGAAAAGAGAGGTCGGACAAAAGAAGAAAAGAGAATGAGAATTAAAAGAGCGAAAAACAGTAAAAGGAGAGAGGAAAAGAAAATCAGGATTTGAAATTTGGAAAAGAGCCGGGATGAAACACAGAAGTCGTCGCAAAGCATTTAGAAACGTTTAACTGCTCAGGTGCATTGCATCCCCAATATGTGATTCCCTATCTGCTAAATGCTTTGAAACTGACCAAGTTGTTGTGTGTGCATTAGTTAGGTTCTGTTCAGGTGGTTAGTTTGTTGGCATCCTGGCAAGTCACCCCTATAACACCAGATCAAAGCGCAAGGCAGTCATGACTAGCAAAGTATCGGACACGGGTGTTGTTGACCCACCGAGGGAGATTGTAGAATCAGAGTCTGAATTGAAAGAGGAGGTCCACAGGTTGAAGCATCAAATGGCAGAAATGTATCAAG